ACTTAAATCCGGGATACAAATCTGTATGATATGTTAAGTTTCGTATGGTATGTATTCATTTGTGGATGTCCATCATCCATTTCGTATGATATGATACAAATTACAATTTGTATGATATGTTATGAATTGCAATTCGTACAATTTGTTACGAATTTGCTAAACGTATGTTATGTTACGTATTCCAATGTGTTGTGGCTAACGTTAGCTAGGTGGATAGGTGCCTAACGTTAGCTTGGTGGCAAACGTTAGCTAGGCCAGGGGTTTAGAGGTTAGGGTTAGGAGTTAGGTTAAAGGGTTAGGGGAAGAGTTAGCTCACATGCTAGTTGCAAAGTAGCTAAAAAGTAGTAAGTAGTTGCAAGTTGCTAATTAGCTAAAATGCTAAAGTTGTCCTTGATGACATTCGAACACTCAACCTTTGGATTGCTAGATGTTCGTGTTATACGCCTACCAACCACCCTACTTTCGTTTTTGCCTTAAGTAACCTTCTGTCTTATGTAACCATACCAAACATTACATATCACACTAATAGTGTCCCAGATTTACGTTTACTATGTTAGGTCTGGTCCAGGGCTCTCAAACCCTGTTCCTGGAGAGCTACCCTCGTGTAGGTTTTCACTCCAACCCCAGTTGTAACTAACCTGATTCAGCTCATAAACCAGCTAATTATTAGAATCAGGTGGGCTTGATTAGGGTTGGAGTAAAAACCTACAGGACGGTAGCTCTCAGGAACAGGGTTGGAGCCCTCGCTCTAGTCTATGAGACCAGGTTGTGTAGGCCTATATAACCTATTGTAGGCCTATGGCAATATGATGTAGCCTAGGGCTATAATGACGATATGATGTTGATGTATTACACTAAGAAGCCGGATGTGGAGGTCCTGGGCTGGCATGGTTACACGTGGTCTGCGGTTGTGAGGCCGGATGGACGTACTGCCAAATTCTCTAAAACTACGTTGGTGGCAGCTTATGGTAGAGAAATGAATATTCAATTTTCTGGCAACAGCTCTGGTGGACATTCCTACAGTCAGCATGCCAATTGCACACTCCCTCGAAACTTGAGACATCTGTGCCATTGTGTTGTGTGAAAAAACGGCACATTTTAAAGTGCCATTTAATTGTCCCCAGCACAAGGTTCACCTGTGTAATGATAATGCTGTTTAATCAGCTTCTTGATATGCCACATTATTCTGAATGTACTCCATTTAGTATGATATGTTACATTTTGTATGGTATGTATTGATTTGTGGATGTCCATCACTCATTTTGTATGATATGTTAGGAATTACAATTCCTATTATATGTTACGAATTTGCAAAATGTACAATCTGTTACGAATTTTCAAAATGTATGATAGTTGCGAATTTTCAAAATATACAATATGTTAGGATTTTTGAAAAACGTACAATATGTTATGAATTTGCAAAACGTATGATATGTTATTACACTGCTCAAAAAAATAAAGGGAACACTTAAACAACACATCCTAGATCTGAATGAATGAAATAATCTTATTAAATACTTTTTTCTTTACATAGTTGAATGTGCTGACAACAAAATCACACAAAAATTATCAATGGAAATCAAATGTATCAACCCATGGAGGTCTGGATTTGGAGTCACCCTCAACATTAAAGTGGAAAACCACACTACAGGCTGATCCAACTTTGATGTAATGTCCTTAAAACAAGTCAAAATGAGGCTCAGTAGTGTATGTGGCCTTCACGTGCCTGTATGACCTCCCTACAACGCCTGGACATGCTCCTGATGAGGTGGCGGATGGTCTCCTGAGGGATCTCCTCCCAGACCTGGACTAAAGCATCCGCCAACTCCTGGACAGTCTGTGGTGCAACGTGGCGTTGGAGGATGGAGCGAGACATGATGTCCCAGATGTGCTCAATTGGATTCAGGTCTGGGGAACGGGCGGGCCAGTCCATAGCATCAATGCCTTCCTCTTGGAGGAACTGCTGACACACTCCAGCCACATGAGGTCTAGCATTGTCTTGCATTAGGAGGAACCCAGGGCCAACCGCACCAGCATATGGTCTCACAAGGGGTCTGAGGATCTCATCTCGGTACCTAATGGCAGTCAGGCTACCTCTGGCGAGCACATGGAGGGCTGTGCGGCCCCCCAAAGAAATGCCCCCCAACACCATGACTGACCCATCGCCAAACCGGTCATGCTGGAGGATGTTGCAGGCAGCAGAACGTTCTCCACGGCGTCTCCAGACTCTGTCACGTCTGTCACATGTGCTCAGTGTGAACCTGCTTTCATCTGTGAAGAGCACAGGGCGCCAGTGGCGAATTTGCCAATCTTGGTGTTCTCTGGCAAATGCCAAACGTCCTGCACGGTGTTGGGCTGTAAGCACAGCCCCCACCTGTGGACGTCGGGCCCTCATACCACCCTCATGGAGTCTGTTTCTGACCGTTTGAGCAGACACATGCACATTTGTGGCCTGCTGGAGGTCATTTTGCAGGGCTCTGGCAGTGCTCCTCCTGCTCCTCCTTGCACAAAGGCGGAGGTAGCGGTCCTGCTGCTGGGTTGTTGCCCTCCTACGGCCTCCTCCACGTCTCCTGATGTACTGGCCTGTCTCCTGGTAGCGCCTCCATGCTCTGGACACTACGCTGACAGACACAGCAAACCTTCTTGCCACAGCTCGCATTGATGTGCCATCCTGGATGAGCTGCACTACCTGAGCCACTTGTGTGGGTTGTAGACTCCGTCTCATGCTACCACTAGAGTGAAAGCACCGCCAGCATTCAAAAGTGACCAAAACATCAGCCAGGAAGCATAGGAACTGAGAAGTGGTCTGTGGTCACCACCTGCAGAACCACTTCTTTATTGGGGGTGTCTTGCCAATTGCCTATAATTTCCACCTGTTGTCTATTCCATTTGCACAACAGCATGTGAAATGTATTGTCAATCAGTGTTGCTTCCTAAGTGGACAGTTTGATTTCACAGAAGTGTGATTGACTTGGAGTTACATTGTGTTGTTTAAGTGTTCCCTTTATTTTTTTGAGCAGAGTAATTCTAACTATGTGGCTAACGTTAGCTAGGCTAGGGGTTAAAGTTAGGGATTAAAGTTAGGTTTAAATTATGTTCAAGGAGTGGGCTAGCTAAAAGGGTTGGGGTTAGCTAAAATGGTTAAGGTTAGTGTTAGGGGAAGGGTTAGCTAACATGCTAAGTAGTTGAAAAGTAGTTAAAAAGTTGCTAAAATGCTAAAGTTGTCCCTGATGAGATTCGAACTGGCAACCTTTGGGTTGCTTGATGTTCACATTATACATCCACCCCGACCAACCACCCTACTTTCGTTTTTGTCTTATGTAACCATACCAAATGTATCATATCATACTCATTTGGATGTCCCGGATTTATGTTCACTATGTTACTTCTAGTTTATGATGCCAGGCTTTTACCATCAGCTTCCAGCGGCAACACGCTCTCTGTGCAAATTGATGTTAGACTTCTTGCCATCAAGCAACCGGTTCTGACTGGACCAGACGCAATATTAACAATGTTCTCGGTAAGTATTGCTCAGACTTCACACTCAAGCATCACCGGCAAAATAACTCCTGTGCTAACTTCGGAGGATCCCTTTACTTGTCGTTTAGAGTAGGTCTATTATGTGTAATTAAAATACATATATAAAATGTTTTCAGTGTAAAGAGAAAATAAAGTTATTTTTCATTGCGATAACAACTAATTACTCCGTTTAGTTTTTACAAATTCAAAGGTGCTTTTACACTATTTGAGAAGAAACATTACATCTGATTTGACTTGAAATACTTTGAAGCGCTATCTGATCATCACTGGTAGGCTAATAACATATGTTAACTTTTATAATTGATAGACTAATCGATAGCCTATGCATGCAGTCGAAGAACACGTCCCCCACCCCACCTATATCCATTATTATCATGATGCATAAAATGGAGCCTCTCAGTATCGAATTGATGGGCTTATTATCAAATAGACGAAAACATATCCTTATTCAGTTGTGTTTACTCTGTGGCAGTGCGTAGTGTGCGCTCTCTAGCTCCGCACATGATGAAGAGGAAGCAGAGTTTCCTCATCGTAGGTGGCACATAAATCCGGACCAGCAAAAACCGCTTTGAACCGGTTTGTTCTGCGTCAACAAAGCTATAGGCTATATAACGGATACTGTGCGCGTAGCTGCTGCTGATGGGGAACCCGGGTCTGCCTCTCCGGACCTCGGATATAGCCTAGCGGTCGCTCGGCATCCGCATGTGTTGTCGTTTATGTTTTATTTGATTTCGATTCTATACATAAGAGTTATTATCGGGATACCAACCATCCTTCATGGCAACTCCCTGTAGGCAAACGCGCACGTATCCTGCAGTTGTATGTTGTCATTGTGCTTGTGGCTGTTGTTTTTGATGTTGTTGAGGTAAGTCGCATGTATTTCCTTATGTATATATTCTTAAATTCCATTCCTTACTAGATTTGTGTGTATTGGGTATATGTTGTGAAATTGTTAGATATTAGTTGTTAGATATTACTGCACTGTCGGAGCTAGAAGCATAAGCATTTCGCTACACACGCAATAACATCTGCTAAACACGTGTATGTGATAAATATGATTTGATTTGTTAATAAAATAACAATAGGCTACTATAGCACGACATTATAGCATAGTAGGGCTATGGCTAGATACAGCATAATATAGTTTGTAGGCTATGTGTAATGGGTGATTAAGTGCCAACGAATATCTCGTAAATGCTAACAAAAACCATATTATTTCATAAAGAAAAATAGGTAGTTATGTGTAGATGGCACGGTGTTTAAAAAATTGATTCTGTCAGCACAGGAAACAGGGTGCGCCTCTAAAAGTTCAGTGTTTTGTGCCAGAACTAAGGGGAAATAGACAATGCAGGTTAAAGTAGCCTACAAGGTAGGCAGTCCAGACACCAAACCCTCCTTCAAGGTGTGGTCTGTGAGGGCACAAAACGGGCAGCACAGGATGGGAAGGTTGCACTCTGTTTAGGAAGTACAGTAGAACAGGTGACCTGCCTGGTAGACCATGCAAGAGCAGCATCAACATCAAGACATGAGTGGGCATTTATCTACTACTTTAGAAAGCAACTTATTAAATTTATCTCTTCCTTGATCATGATTCATGTCTCCAAACTTGCTTGTGATTTATTTTGTCTGTATTCTCATGCATTTGATCAATTGCTTGTCTATTCCGCTTGTGTTTTTAAAAAGTTTTGCTCTTTTTCTGTTTTCCCCAGGAACCCTCCCTGTTGAAGTTGTAAGATCCAAGCAGACAGCATGAGTCCTCAGAGCTCAAAGAAAGCGCTGGATGGAGGTTGGGGATGGGTCATCATTGTGGCCTGCTTCATGGCCCAGTTCCTGGCCTATGGCTCCCCCCAGTCAGTGGGCGTCCTGTACCCAGAGTGGCTCCACGCCTTCCAGGAGGGGAAAGGCATGACGGCCTGGGTCGGCTCCTTGGTCTCTGGAGTGGGACTCATAGCCAGTGAGTATTCTCAGAACTTTGTTTATTTATTTAGATACTGTATAGGTAAAGGCTAATGCTCTCATTCAAAGACAGGGAATATCTTCAGAGCTCACTGTGCTTAAACTGCAGAATTCTGTATATTATAAAATAGTTAATGTAGATTTTTTTTAACATACATTTATTCACCTCAGCATCTGAACATCTGTTCAAGAATTCCATATTGATTGTCTTGGCATGGCTATGAATTGATATGCTTAACAGCATGTCAGTGGTTAGACCTGAATTTACTTATCTATGCACTTTACAGTTGCAGCTACATTGTCTGGTGTAGAGTCTCACCTGGTATGCATGTCTGACACCGGTTGCTGTTGTATAATTAATGACGTCACTGATACGGAACCAGACAAAAGAATGGTCCAATGTCTCTATAAACACATACGATGATGTGGCATTATGGGTAAAGTAACAGACCAGTTTTTATCTAACCAAGTAATCTTGTTTGGAGGGCAAAGTGGCACATGATAAGATAGGAAAATAAGTATTTTACCTGGTACATATCAACAGTTGTGAAAGTGCTGACTTGTCCTAAGTAGATGAAGAGAACTGTGCAATATGGAGGCACTTTGTGGTGCTCTTAACACTTAGTTGAGGTTATTGATTGATGCTAAGTCATTTACATTTACGTCATTAAGCAGACGCTCTTATCCAGAGCGACTGACAGAAGCAATTGGTGTTAAGTGCCTTGCTCAAGGACACATCGTCAGATTTTTCACCTAGTCGGCTCGGGGATTCGAACCAGCGACCTTTTGGCTACTGGCCCAACACTCTTGAACGCTAGGCTACCTGCCCCCCGACAGACAGTCCTGTCATACCTGCAGGAGGAGCCCTTAGCCGTTACGTAGCTGTGACCAGTGACCACACCGAGGGTGTGTGTGTGTATGGGAAAGAGAAAAGGGGGGAAAAGAGAGAAAAGTATAATAAAGCTTTCAACAGTTTAATTCGTTTGGAATGACCAGGGACACAGGAGGACTCAGTTCACAGTTCACTGCAAGCTGTATTCAAGTCAGTTTATATTATTTAGGCAAAACAGGATCAGAGATTGTAGATCACGGTCTTGGTTTACATTTACCGCCAGGCTAAGCCTCCCTTCACGTTGTCGCCTTTCCAAAGAGGTCTGTGAAAAGTCATGACTAGACAGATTGCTCCCAGAACACGTGTGGGGCTGGGCTATGCAGCCTTACACCATGGGCTGTTTTAACTGGTGGTGAAACGGAAGGGAGGTAGAGACAGGGTTCAACAAGACGTGATTGGCTATTCTTTACACACACTCTCGGGTTGTCAGTGGTCTGATCGGGAATTCAATACGTCTCAGCACAAAAAGTGATGTGTATAATAAGGACAGTCACATTTAAGACTCAGGTTCACTGTACTAAAACAAGTAGTCAATTCAATGTGCATCAGACACACAAGGACCTATACAAACAGTGCAGTGTATAGCTTTGGAAACTAAAAGGATTGGGCTGCATTTGACTTGGCACGATGCTAGGAAAACAGCAGTCTTTAATGAGTTGGCTGCAGATTATGGGTTAGTGAGGTGATACCGTCTCAGGCCCGGCGCCAGGATAAAGTGACTAAGGGGGCAGTTGAAATCGGTGAGAGAGCAACATTTTTGGGGGTTCTTGCGTTGGAATTCTATTGAATTCTGGCTGTATCAAGCTATACCACAATAAACATAAAGTATGAATGCTGAGACTCCGAGACCATTGATCTCCGCTGCACTGTATCAGCACAATGGACAGTGCCCTACACACTACAGTAAGGCTGTTTCGGTAATGTAAATAAGCTACAAGATAGATCAGGTAATTCACCTATTCCAAGCAGCCTATGTGAATGCAGCCGTACATACAGCTGTCTTACCAAAATAATGCAAACTAAATGCTGAAAGTAGTAAGTAGCCTAGTTATTCATGCATGCAAAAATACTGAATATAGTTTCACTTAGAATACCGACACAACTGCGAACGAAAACAGAACAAAACAACGGTACTACCAAGTAGGTCTAGTAAACAAAATATCAGATCGATAAAGGCATGACACAATCTATTTTTAGGCTAGTTACATTAACAGTAAACAAACGCAGTAGCCTACTACAGTGAGATGCAGCCATGCACAGCTGTCTTGCCAAATAAATAAGCCTATAGGCCCCGCTTCAAACATAGAAAATCATGGTGCTCGTGAGTTCAGCAACACGTTGTGATATGGCACAATACACTTCTGTGGATCAAATTCCAATACATACAGTTCTATTTACAACCACGAAAACCAATAGGCTACCAAGAAAACCATAATAGAATGTATTTATTTCTATGATGAAACATACCGATATGTAGCTATACCCAGGGTTGTCATTTGGGTTCTTGCATTGGAATTATATTGAATTCTGCTTATATCACGCTATAGCACAATAAACATAAAAGTTCAAATGCCGAGACCATTGAGGGCTTTTGACCAAGAAGTGACAGGTTGGCGCGAAATCTCCGCTGCGCTCTATCAGCACCATGGACAGCACCCTACACACTAAAGCAAGGCTGTTGAAAACCTAGGCTGGCTAAGGAAGTCATTTTGCCATTCTATACCCTAGGTTTTTGCTGAAAGGACGCCACTGACTATACCACCAATATTTTGATAAAAAGCAATCAGCTAGATTGTTTCTTACCTTTTCAGAAGAGTTGCAGTAATCGTTCATTCCATTCTCCCCAAAATCCTCTTGTAAGATCTCCCTCAAATGCCAATTGGATTAGTTGAGCTTTCCTCGCATGCTTCTTCAAAGTGGAAAATGAGTTCTCGCATGTAGCTGTGGACGCCCCAAAAGTCAATCCATGTGTCAGTGCAGTAACCACGGTCGGCATAGGGAAGAGAGACCCAGAGAAAACTTAAAGCCGGGGTCCGTCACCGCCTTCAGCAGCCCTGTAGCCTCGAGTCTTACTTCTGTGTTGTACGAATGCGTGCATTCGATGTCAGAGAGGAACTTCACAACGCTGTCACAACTTTTAGCAACCACTGACACAGTAGCCAGCTGTCCCCTTCTCCTTTGGCTTTGTTTGGGTACTTTGGCGAAGCCAATTTCTGATATCCATCGTGGCAGTGGCAGATTAGTTGGTTCGAGCTAGCTAAATAGGCTAAGGCTAATAACACTAAAAAAATGTACAGCTAGCTAAGAAGCTAACTAAACTCTGAAGTGGTGGGGCGTGAGGCAGAGTTGAGTAAAGCAGCTTCAATGGTAAACTTGAACCCGCCCTTATAAATCTAAATCAAATATTACAGGTGGAGGCGTATCACGTTATACACTTAGCCTACCACAGGTGAGAAGCGTTTTTTCCCGCTTTTTATGGAAACCCAAAGGAGTCCTATATAACCGCTCCAGTGGCTTTCCATAGCCCCCTACACACACTCTGTCCATTGTGCTGACACAGCGCAGCGGAGATAGAGATTTTGTGGTAACCAGTCACTCGATCATTTGAACTTTATTGCTATTTTTATATAGGGACATGAAACTAAAACTGAGGGGGCACACATTTCAACTGAGGGGGCTAAGCCCCCTTTTGCCCCCTTGTGGATCTGGGCCCGTACCGTCTCCCCAAACTTTGCCCAAGCCCTTGCTTCTGTCCACTGAAGGATCCAATTTGTCCTTACAGACCTATATTTCCCTTGTGCCATCAATCAGGATATACAGTGCCTTCAGAAAGTATTCACACCCCTTGACTTTTTCCACATTTTGTTGTGTAACCGCCTGAATTTAAAATGGATTTAATGTAGATGTTTTTGTCACTGGCCTGCACACAATACCCCATAATGTCAAAGTGGAATTATGTTTTTTGAAATTTTTACAAATTAATTAAAATGAAAAGCTGAAATGTCTTGAGTCAATAAGTATTCAACCCCTTTGTTATGGCAAGCATAAATAAGTTAAGGAGTAAAAATGTGCTTAACAACTCACATAATAAGTTGCATGGACTCACTATGTGTGCAATAATAGTGTTTAACATGATTTTTGAATGACTAGCTCATCTCTGTATCCCACACTAACAATTATCTGTAAGGTCTCTCAGTCAAGCATAAATTCAACCACAAAAACCAGGGAGGTTTTCAATTTTTTTTTTAAAGCAGACATTGACTTTTTTATTTATTTATTTTATTTCACCTTTATTTAACCAGGTAAACCAGTTGAGAACAGGTTCTCATTTACAACTGCGACCTGGCCAAGATAAAGCAAAGCAGTGTAATAAAAACAACACAGAGTTACATATGGGGTAAAAAACATAAAGTCAAAAATACAACAGAAAATATATATACAGTGTGTGCAAATGTAGCAAGTTATGGAGGTAGGCAATAAATAGGCTATAGTGCAGAATAATTACAATAGTATTAACACTGGAATGCTAGATGTGCAAGAGATTATGTGCAAATAGAGATACTGTGGTGCAAAAGAGCAAAATAATAACAATATAGGGATGAGGTAGTTGGGTGGGCTAATTTCAGATGGGCTGTGTACAGGTGCAGTGATCGGTAAGGTGCTCTGACAACTGATGCTTAAAGTTATTGAGGGAGATAAGAGTTCTCCAGCTTCAGAGATTTTTGCAATTCGTTCCAGTCATTGGCAGCAGAGAACTGGAAGGAATGGCGGCCAAAGGAGGTGTTGGCTTTGGGAATTGTGTCCACTTTGAGCATAACAAAGTTATTAATTACATTTTGGATGGTGTATCAATAAACCCAGTCAATACAAAGATACAGGCATCCTTCCTAACTCAGTTGCCGGAGAAGAAGGAAGACGCTCATGAGGCCAATGGTGACTTTAAAACAGTTAGAGTTTAATGGCTGTGATAGGAGAACTTTGGATGGCTCAACAACATTGTAGTTACTCCACAATACTAACCTAATTGACAGAGTGAAAAGAAGGAAGCCTGTACACAATAAAAATATTCCAAAACATGCATCCTGTTTGCAATAAGGCACTAAAGTAAAACTGCAAAAATTGTGGCAAAAACATGGACTTTTTGTCCTGAATACAAAGCGTTATGTTTGGGGCAATTCCAACACATCACTGAGTACCACTCTTTCATATGTTCAAGCATGGTGGTGGTGGCATCATGTTATTGGTATACTTATCTAATCTATATTAGTGTTTTTTGACAATTAAATACATTTTAATCCCACTTTGTAAAAACATAATGTGGAAAAAGTAAGGGTCTGTGAATACTTTCTGAAGGCACTGTAAGTGGTCTCATCTTGCTAGAAATAGATATATTTCTGTAACTTGGTGTGCTTTTAAATTCGATATGCTGTGAGGATGATGACAAATGAGCATCACAGGCTGTCCTTTTCCCTGACCCTTAAACTCTGCTCTGGTGTCTAATAACTAGCTAGTGCTGCTTTTAGGCCTCAGGGGGCCTCGTTGTAAACATTTGAGGAGTATGAATAGAGTCACAAGCCTAGCCAACAACACGCCTATGGTAGAGACTAAGGAGCACAGACGAACACTCTGTCCTAAATAGGGAGCGATAAGGTCAAAATAATATCAGGGCAGAAAGGGGGACCATGTCACATGGTTAAAGTTGATACATCACGTCTTCCTGCCATGAAATAGCCCAACATGTATGGTACACCTTGACCGGTATCACTATCCTTTTTGTATTGTTTAGGAAATCCATCTGTTGCTAACACCACGTGGATCCTGAATGCACCATATTAATTCCATCATGCGACTTTGTTGTTTGTGTCTTGTCATCTCATTTCTGCTCCTCCCTAACTCACTGCATCTATTCAACAATGTACCCTCAACTCCCACACACACACTGAATTCACACTTCTTCTCTGCGCTATTTTCTCCCCCAGGTCCTGTCTGCAGTGCCTGTGTGGATAACTTTGGGGCGCGCCCTGTGACCATCTTCAGTGGGGTCATGGTGGCAGGGGGCCTGATGCTCAGCGCCTTCGCCCCAAACGTCCAGTTCCTCATCTTCTCTTACGGGATCGTCGTCGGTAAGTGAGAACCTCGTGGTGGACGAAGTCTGCGGTTTGTGTGACCCACTATTAGATATAGGATTAGCCTTGTCAGTGTGAGAGAAATTATAGGAAGTTGCTTGTTTACTCTGTAGGGAGTGAACTGTTTTTAACTGATGATTACATAAAAATATTACACAGTTAAACAATAACACAAGTCAATGATAGATAAGACACAAGAATTGAATAGGTTCATGTCTATTCAAAATAGGTTCATGTCTATTCAAAGTAGGTTCATGTCTATTCAAAATAGGTTAATGTCTATGCTCCAGCACACATGCACTGTGAGGGTATATGTAGGATGTATTCAGAGATCTAAAAATGACTAATGCCTCCCCCCAACATTTTGAATGCACCCCTCGCAGCCCATTATCTAACCCCCAGTGATAGCTGTGCCATGCTAAGGGGAAAGAGCTCAATAGACGGCCACTGCCTGTGGTATTGTCCTGAGAGAGAGGTCATGCATATTTGAAGAAGGGCGTCTATTTTTAGACCATCCCTTGGATGCGCTGCACATGTGGCTCAGTATTCTCTCATCGCTTTTCTGCCCTAGTCATCCTTTGCGGATCAAATTACCATTGGGGTGATTTTACACTAGACAAAAGTTATTTGTATGGTGAATATGTAACAACTTTATCACAGAGCAACAGATTTTAAACATGGTGAATTTACTGCATGTTTTTACATGACTAAGATGGCCTTACACAGGTCCCACAGTTTCACATTAAGGTTCTCAGTTTACTGTGCAAGAATTTGCTCAGAACATTAAATATCTTCTTCACCATGGTAAATAAGGTACTGTAGCTACATGCTCCTCTAAAATGTGCTAATGAAAATACCTCTGTTGTTTTTGTTGTCCACAGGTCTTGGCTGCGGTCTTGTCTATGCTGCCACATTGACCATCACCTGTCAGTACTTTGACAAGAGACGTGGCCTCGCCCTCGGCATAGTCACCACAGGTAGTTCAGCCCCCCTCTGCGCTCACTGGGTTCACACCAAGTCTCCATGCTCAGTTCTTTCATGTTTCAGAAGCCGGAAGTCTTGGAATGCCAAGGTAAACATTGTAGTCTAGAAACACTGTAGCCTTGTGATTAGGGAAGTGGACTGGTGACAAGAAGAACACTGGTAATACAACACAGTTCTGGGGCATTCTGTGTTTGTCCCCTTGAGGAAAGGGAGAACAGGGAGGCTAGCTTTAGGCAAAGATGTCCCACTAAGCAAGGATTTTATTAAATTAATATTAATGAATCTCTAAGGGCTTATTCTTGGAATCCCAACACTAAATTGTTCCCTTCTCTCATTTAGGCACAAGTGTGGGAGGGTTCCTCTATGCCACGGCTCAGAATGAGCTGATTGTTCTCTTTGGCCTGGAAGGCTGCCTGCTGATCATCGGGGCCTTGGCCCTCAACCTCATGGCCTGTGCCGGCTTCATGAGGCCCCTGAACATGCCTGGCTACTACCTCAAACAGAAGGCTGCTCTGGCGCGCACAGAGGAGCAGCTCTTCAAGAAACCGCCAGCTGACGACCTCAAGACCACACCAGGCACTGGCGAGAAAAACCTGATGGTCAAGGATCACCTGATCACCATCGACGCCAAAGACATCACCATCACCACACCTGACAACAAAGGGGGGTTCATGGCAGGTTCAACCATTGTGAAAATGATCAAGAAGAAGCGTCAGGCTTACTCAAAGTACATGCACTCCATGGCTGACTTCCTGCATGACAGAAACTTTATGGCCCTCTGCATAGCTATCTTCCTGTTCAGCCTAGGAGCCTTCCCTCCGGTCCTCTTCATGGAGGATGTGGCCCAGAGTGAGGGCCTCATCAACGAGGTCAGAATCATACCCCTGGTCTCCATTGTAGCCATCACTACCGGTGTGGGCAAGCTGACCCTGGGCATGCTAGCAGACATGAGGTGGATCAACAGTGTGTTCCTGTATGCCTTCACCCTGCTGGGGACCGGGACGGCCCTTCTCCTCATCCCCATCTCCAAGAGCTACGTAGGCCTGCAGGTCCTCTCAGCTGTGGTGGGCTTTTTCTCTGGGAACTGGTCCCTAACGTCATACATCACTACCAAGATTGTGGGCCTGGACAAACTGACCCAAGCCCATGGGATCCTCATGTTTTTCGGTGGATTCGGGATCATGCTTGGGCCCCCTGTTGTTGGTAAGAAAGATCCCACTTCTGACACCATTGGTCAACATTGCTGAGTGTGTGTGTGGTCCACATTTACAGTTGTTAGGTTAGAGCTGGTACAGGTTCGTATTCATGCTTTTACAGAGAATCACTCTTCCATATGTCAAAACATTTTTAGATTATGTAATCTTAATGTGTGAGTGGGAATGTTGAACTCAAGATGTTGGCCTTTAGCTAGTCTTTTGCTGACTCATACATTGTCGAGAGATTTTGCTGAAATTCTTTTTTTTTTTCTCTCCTCTTCTTCCTGTTCCAGGGTGGTTCTTTGACTGGACCCAGTCCTATGACCTGGCCTTCTACTTCAGTGGAGGATCTGTGCTCCTGGGTGGAGTCACGCTCTTTCTGTGTGCTCTGCCGTGCTGGGACAAAAAGAAGGCTGACATCAATAGGCCCGACATTCAGTACACCAGCAACTGTGACAAAGTTGCCTCTGTAGCCTGAACACTAACTTTCACATGGACCTTGCTCTCCAGTGCTCCCAGCGATTTTTGCTGATAAGCTTTATACCCTTCAAGAGGTTGCTTTTTCCCTGGTGCCAGATTTCACAGATGTGTACCTGAGAGGAGCTTTGAAGTGGAGTAGGCCTTTTCTATACATCTTTAATGCGTTTTTAAGACTTCTTACATTATACTACAGAATTTTGAAAGATGCCTATGTTGAACATTTTAATAACGGCCTCATTTTAAGAGGCCTATTCAACTAAATGGTTTCTAAGCAAATGAATAAAATAGATTATGTTTACTTAGAATAAATACTGTTTTTTACATTTCTGAATCTTTACTTGGGTCAAATGGAAAAGGCATTTTCCTCTGGTGACCCTGTGGAGAAATACAAACCAACAATGGCCTGTGAAGATGTTGGTTGAAAACACAAAAGACTGTTCAAATTACTCAACATATTGAAATGTATAACCATGCAAAATTAAAATTTGAAAGAATTTCCCAGGAATTTACTGGAAAAAATACAGGGATTGGAAAAAAAGGAGGGAATGCACTTTTAATGTACTCTTTTTAATTCTAGCCGCACAAACTGTTTGTTTCTATCTTACCAAAGCACCAGGATGGTGGATGCCTGTCAACACGTTATGCCTGATGAATACAAGCCTTGCTTTTTAAGTTCATTGGCATTGTACTGTATTTTACTTGTACTGTCCAAACTTGTTTGAGTTAGGGAGGTACTAAACACCTCACTTTGTCTTGACCGGACTAAGATCTTGCTGAATAATATGCTGTGCAAATACCAGAGACTGTACAGGAATAAGGTCCAGTTCCTCTAAGTAGTATATATCAGTTCTTTGTGGCATGACCCTTTTCCTGCATTTGTTCACCAGAATGGTCCTATTGAGAATGTTTTAATTTAGTTTTTGCATCTGCATGTTTCTTTTTTTTATAGCATTATATTTTGTACGTTTCTTCAAATCTTTCAACGTTTATAAGCAACATTGTATACAGTATGCACTGAGCCAGTCCCAGATACACATTGTATGTAAAGTGATGTCATTCATTATTGTCATTATGATTTTATGTTTTTAAGGAATAGAATGATTGTGATACTGCTTTGTTAGTCACTTGAAGATCCAATTTTTGTATGTAAAATGTACCACAACATATTTCAGTTTATATCCTCTTCAATTCTAAGACTACTGGGATATTGTTTTATTCTTAGTCAAGTGTCTTTGTAAAAGTCTTTACGGGGTTGAAATGAAATACAAAATATCTATGATCCAAAAAGGTTAGAAACATTAGAACTGTAACTTTATATGATGTTGAACCACTTTGTCTTATTCTTTTTTTAATGTCAGTGTTACAGTATTTATGTTTGCAATATTTCGCTGTTTCTATTTTGTTATTTTCAACAAAAAAGTTCCAATAAATGAAAATGAAATTCAATATTGTGATTCTATATGTTTTTTTTTAATGCTGTCTGACTAACATAAAATATGATTCACTGAAGTCCTTTCTAATTGACTTCAGCACATGTGGTGAACATTTTGGTGGTATTGTGTGAGTGAGCACCAGTGGCGACCCATCATTCAGGGCACCTGTTTGAGCCCCACATTTTTAGCAAGAAAATGGGGCTTGCCTGTTTTGCATGTTATTTTGGCATTAATATGTGTCACATCAGTTTGCAAACAATGTAAAAAAAAAATAAGAAAATACTAATTGAGTTAATAAAGCCGCATACAAATATGGTCTCTTTTTTGCTACAGTTCTGAACTTGGTGTACAGGGAGAACACTGTAAGAACGGCCCATGTTCGGAATTCTGTCGCTGTACATTTCAAAAGTGCTAAACAAATAGTTATATTGACTACGTCCGTCCTAGCTCGCTCATTAATGTCTTAATTGAAATTACGGATTGCCTCTTATCCGCTTGTCGTCCCCTTTATGCCATAGTTTGTACATCTCAATTGTCATTAGAAACCACATTTGTTTAAGCAAGTCATATCAGCTATGTTTTTTTTTAAGGCAATAAATGAGGCTGAATGAACTGTTTCACTGCCAGACAAGGCTCCGCTGATAGCCAGGTGTAGCAGTCGTAAGATGTTGGGACAGCTTTATGTAGGCCCTAACAGTTGGTGGTCACCGTTATCGTGCAATTAATGTATTGTTTAGTGTTTATGTTGTGTCGTGGCTTTGCTGGCACGCATCCCACTTTTTTTTTTTGTTGGTTTGCCCCACCAAGATTTACATGCTAAAATCGCCACTGGTGAGCACATATGTAAACTCCAGACACTCCTTGGAAGGTTTGATCTAATTCAGTCCTTTGGCAGTGCAACATCCTACTAGGGATGGATCGAAATGTACAGAATGGTTGCCTGTAGGAAAATGGGGGAGGGTCATGCTTTTACATTTCTGTCAAGGGGAGGGTTTAGTCTTTTTTTAAATCTAGTCCAGGGGAGGGTCATGTAATTTGTAATTAATAAAATGTTTATATTTCTCAGTGTTTTAGAATTAGTTGCTTATTAGGCTATATTTTGAGGTGTGCCCAATGCTGCCCCCTCATCTCTGATTTTCCGCTGGGCGCACAATATCAAATGTGCCTATAGGATATTTAATGTGATCTCAATCAAATGATCCATACATAGCCTATAGCCTATATATATAAGCTACGAAGTTCATGCTCGGAGAAGCACAGAGCAAAGTAATATTTATTATATTTCCCTGCTGCGATGGTGTATTATACATGGTGCATTATACAGAGCAGTGGATATTCCAACCCTGAGCCCCGGTCTGCTCTGCTCTTGCTGATCAAAAAACGTTTTTGTGTGCTCCCTAACCAATGGCTGTGCTGTGTAGGCCTATGGTGGCATTCAGGAGGAGAGTCAAAGGCTTCTTCCAAAAAATAATTTTTGATTAGGCCTAGTCAAAGAAATTCACTATCTTGCTGGTGGACTAGCCTGTAGCCTATGTTCTATAGAGCCACAGAGTGGAGGTGTCATAATACCCATAAAACCTAGCGGTCAAACAGGGAAAAGGTTCCAATCGTTTTTCCACCATTCATCTTTCCCATAGAGAATTTTAGCAGTGGTGGAAAAAGCACTCAATTGTAATACTTGACGAAAAGTAAAGATACCTTAATATAAAATGACTCAAGTAAAAGTGAAAGTCACCCAGTAAAATACTACTTTAAAAGTATTTGGTTTTAAATATACTTAAGTATCAAAATAAATGGAATTGCTAAAATATACTTAAGTATCAAAAGTAAAAGAAAAAATAATTTCAATTTCCTTATATTAAGCAAACCAGACGGCAGCATTTTCTTGTTTTCTTAATTTACAGATAGCCAGGGGCACCCCCCAACACTCAGACATCATTTATAAACGAAGCATTTGTGTTTAGTGAGTCCACAAGATCAGAGGCAGTAGGGATGACCAGGGATGTTCTCTTGACCAGGGATGTTCTCTTGATAAGTGCATGAATTGGACAATTTTCCTGTGAAAATGTAACAAGTAATTTTGGGAGTCAGGGAAAATGTATGGAGTAAAAAGTACATTATTTTCTTTAGGAATGTAGTGGAGTAAAAGTAAAAGTTGGCAAAAAATATCAATAGTAAAGTAAAGTACAGATACTCAAAAAAACTACTTAAGTAGTACTTTAAAGTATTTTTACTTAAGTACTTTACACCACTGAATTTTAGAAACACTCAAAATAACGGCTGTGTTTTGTGTAGGCTTACCCTGGCGTCACGTTTTGATAACCATGTAAATCTCTCTTGGACAAGGTGACCTTTATCAATATCTTCGCCTGTATGGTGGAGAAACAATTGGAACAATTTCCTTGTTTGACCACTAGGTTTTATGGGTATTTTGACTCATACTGTGGTACTCTATTCAGTTTGAGAAGGAGAGGCTAAGATGAGAAGAAGGACCTGAGGTCAACTTTGATAGCTTGCTACTACTGTAATTGATTTTATTCAAAACAATATGTTTCTTACCCATTATGTATTTATCACAGTTATTGGCCTTACAATAATCCAGATTTTAGGTATTTACATTTTGGTGCTGAAACTTGAAGCAGCAGCCGCAGCACAATCAATCGGAAATGACAGCTCATGGTGCTGAAAGTAGGCAAATTCGAGTAGGCATAATTCATTTCAAGCTTCTTAATTTTAATTAGACTACAAACAACGAGGGGGCTTTGTGTTGGAGCCGATTCTTCCTATTTAATAAATATGAGGTAGGCCTATATACGTTTGACAGACAAATTAGGCTATAGGCTGATACATCCATAGATTTGTCAGTGTCACGGAATCAGCCGAGGCTGCTCCTCCTCCTTGCTCGGGCAGGTTTCGGCGTTCGTCGTCCCCGGAGTACTAGCTGCCACCGATCTATGTTTTGGTGTTTGACTTGTTTTGTCCTGATTGTGTACACCTGTTCCCCATTATGTTGTATTGTTTCCCCTATTTAACCCTCTGTCGTGCATTGTGTGTTGTGTGTTATTGTATTCGTCTTCGGCAGTGTTAGAGTGCGGGTTGTTTTCCTCCTTGTATGGAGATGGTTTTCTTCTCTGGTTACTTTCAAGTAAAGTACGTTTCCAGTAAGCTCTGTGTCCTGCGTTTGACTTCGCCTACCGCATTTCACCGTCGCCACCTGACAGAATAACACACCTTCCGATGGAGTCAGCAGGATCATCCGTGCTCAGGGGAGCCGTGATCCAGCACCTGGGTACCACCATCCAAGGGGTGATGGACACCTTGAGGCGATGGGAGAGTGGAGGTTTGCCCACACCTCATCCTACGATACCACCACCATCAGCCATACCCATCGGTCCATCTCCGGAGTCCAGTGGGATTCGGCTCTCGCTCCCGAGGGCTTATGATGGCACCGCGGCCGGGTGTCAGGGTTTCCTACTCCAGGTTGAACTCTACCTAGCAACCATTCACCCAGCTCCCTCGGGATATGAGAGCGTGTCCGCCCTCATCTCCTGTCTGTCCGGCAAGGCGCTGGAATGGGCCAACGCCGAATGGGGTGGGATAGACGCCGCTACGGTCAGCTATGCGGAGTTCACCCGCCGCTTCCGGGCAGTATTCGATCATCCCCCAGAGGGTAAAGCGGCAGGTGAGCGTCTATTCCACCTTAGACAGGGGAGGAGGAGCGCGCAGGAGTTCGCGCTGGACTTCTGGACGCTAGCAGCTAACACGGGATGGAATGAGAGGGCCCTCATCGACCACTACAGATGCAGACTGAGGGAGGACGTGCGTCGGGAATTAGCCTGCAGGGACACCAACCTCAGTTTTGACCAACTGGTGGACATGTCGATTCGCCTGGATACCCTGTTGGCTACCCGCAGACGTCCGGATTCGGGGCCGTCCATTCCATCCCCCAGCACTTCCGAGCCGACCCCTATGGAGCTTGAGGGTGCTGGTGCTAGGGAGACCAGGAGGGAGACCAGGAGGGAGGCCGTCCCCTGCACCAACTGTGGCCGCAGAGGACACACTGCTGGTCGGTGCTGGGGAGGGTCTCCTAGGAATCGAGGCAGTGGGCGATGCACTGATGAGTCATTCCAGGTGAGTAGGCACCCAACTCACCCAGAGCTCTCTGCTGATCATATGTGTATTAAAGTGGTGTTTCCCGAGGTTTCTCCTCACTCCCAGCATAAGGCGCTGGTAGATTCAGGCGCAGCTGGGAATTTCATTGATCGCCAGTTCACCTCTAAGTTAGGGATTCCTATCGTACCTGTTGATGTGCCCTTCCCCATTCATGCCCTAGATAGACGCCCGTTGGGGTCTGGGTTGATTAGGGAGGTCACAGCGCCTCTCCGGATGAAAACGCAGGAGGGTCATGAGGAGATAGTACGTTTGTATTTGATTGATTCTCCTGCGTTTCCCGTGGTGTTGGGGCTTCCCTGGTTAACAGCTCATGACCCCAACATTTAATGGCAGCAGAGAGCTCTCTAGGGATGGTCTGATCAGTGTACTGGGCGGTGTGTAGGCGTTTCCGTAGGGGCAACGACGGTGGAAAGCCCGAACCAAGTTCCCGCCTTGCATATTCCACCTGAGTATGCCGATTTGGCTCTCGCCTTCAGTAAGAAGAAGGCGACTCAATTACCACCTCATCGACAGGGGGATTGTGCGATAGACCTCCAGGTAGGCGCTGCGTTTCCACGTAGTCACGTGTATCCTCTGTCTCAGGAGGAGACGGCCGCTATGGAAACCTATGTCACCGAATCTTTGAGACAGGGTTACATACGGCCGTCTACTTCCCCTGCTTCCTCAAGTTTCTTTTTCGTGAAGAAGAAGGGTGGGGGTTTACGCCCGTGTATTGATTACCGTGGTCTAAATCAGATCACCATCAAATACAGCTATCCTCTCCCTCTGATTGCTAGTATGACGGAGTCATTACACGGGCGCGATTCTTCACAAAATTGGATCTTAGGAGCGAGTACATCCTG